TACACTCACTGGGAAGAAGCCCCACTGAACAATGTAAGTTCCTGTGAAAACAATGGGACCTCACCCAGTTATGGGTAATAATAATAATAATAATATTTATAGCCCACCCATCTGGCTGGGTTTCCCCAGCCACTCTCCTATCAGAATTAAAAGCACAATAAAACATCAAACATTAAAAACTTCCCTAAATTAATGGGCTGCCTTCAGATGTCTTCTAAAACTCAGATAATTGTTTATTTCTTTGACCTCTGATGGGAGGGCGTTCCACAGGGCAGGTGCCACTACCGAGAAGGCCCTCTGCCTGGTCCCCTGTAACCTTACTTCTTGCAGGGAGGGAACCACCAGAAGGCCCTCAGAACTGGACCTCAGTGTCCGGGCTGAACGAAGGGGGTGGAGACGTTCCTTCAGGTATATCTGGATTGCAGCCCATAATCTGAAGTACTCTTTACTGCAGTATTTGCCCGTGTTGGACAATAATACCTTAACGCCTTTTGGACTTCACAGGATACATAGAATCTTATCAGCATGTAGCAAGAGTGTAATAATTTCTCTTGGAGAGATGAAATTAATAACATTCCAAAATATCAGTTACATAATTAACATTAAAAACTGGAACAAACACGGGGAATTGATACAATTTTCCTGGCAAAGCAGTTTGGCTTTTGCTTTGTTGTTAGGATCACAACATGATTGACTTATTAATTGATTCAGTTATAATTAGGCTTCTGACCGTACATAACTACCCATTAATTGCTCTTGTTATTTATGTATTGGCTTATAAACGTTACATTGGAATGAGTGTGTCTTGTGACTTTTCAAATTATTTATACTATAAACTGTGAGATTGGCACAGTACATTTTGTTTGTCTTGCTGACCCTTTTTAAAAGTCTAGATGGGCTTTTTGGGATGAGGCCTATTCCCCAAACCAATTTGTACCAAGGTTGAGAAAGTAATGGGGCCTCGAGACATGTCGTGAAATAATGCTCATGATGCTATCACCTGCAAAAGTTTTAGAGTGGTCACATTGCTTCATTTCCAATCAGTGCCTATCCTGTAACTTCCTGCTGAATTCCTGCAACATTTTATATCACAAATGTTCTGGTTCGTTTTTGTTCCACCTTCATTGCTCTATTGTTTTTGTTGTTGTGTCCGACTCTTCGTGACCCCATGAACCAGAGCACACCAGGCACTCCTGTCTTCCACTGCCTCCCACAGTTTGGTCAAACTCATGCTGGTAGCTTCGAGAACACTGTCCAACCATCTCGTCCTCTGTCATCCCCTTCTCCTTGTGCCCTCCATCTTTCCCAACATCAGGGTCTTTTCCAGGGAGTCTCCTCTTCTCATGAGGTGGCCAAAGTATTGGAGCCTCAGCTTCAGGATCTGTCCTTCTAGTGAGCACTCAGGGCTGATTTCCTTCAGAATGGATAGGTCTGATCTTCTTGCAGTCCATGGGACTCCCAAGAGTCTCCTCCAGCACCATAATTCAAAAGCATAAATTGTTTGGTGATCAGCCTTCTTTATGGTCCAGCTCTCACTTCCATACATCAGTACTGGGAAAACCATAGTCATTGCTCTATAGCCCATCCAAACAGCAATAATGCAGAAGTATTGGGGGAGCATCGCATAACAAACTGAAGCGGAATAAACCCACTAGTAATGCGCTGTTATTGTGTCAAGAACATGTTGCAGAATACAGCTGCAATCTGGAGGTGCCCTAAACGAAAGTGATGAAGACTAGGAAATCACTGTCTTCCCGTTGCAGAATGGCTATGTTCGCCGTGCTGTGAAGAAAAGCAGTCAGCCTGATCAGGCCAGAACAGGAGTGGGAGCAGGGGTGCCATCTTGACTAAAATATTGTGGGGGGCAGGTAAGCCCAGCCCCTCATCATCGATCACATGACACGGCCCATGCACACAATTTGAATGACAATGTGCACCCACTTTGGGGGAGCCCAGCCCTCTCAAATATTTTATTGGGGGTGGCCAAAGGGACCTTGGCCCCTGGGAGTTGACTCCTGTGAGTGGAAGGTAGGTGGGCCAATTGGCATGGGTTTATGATTTTAGGGGTGCTGGCGCTGTGGTCTAAACCACATATCCTAGGGCTTGCCGATCAGAAGGTCAGGGTTTGAATCCCAGTGACAGGGTGAGCTCCTGTTGTTCAGTCCCAGCTCCTGCCCACCTAGCAGTTCAAAAGCATGTCAAAGTGCAAGTAGATAAATAGGTACCACTCTGGTGGGAACGTAAACGGCATTTCCGTGCGCTGCTCTGGTTTGCCAGAAGCGGCTTAGCCATGCTGGCTACATGACCCGGAAGCTGTCTGCGGACAAGCGCTAGCTCCCTCGGCCTATAGAGCAAGATGAGCACCGCAGCCCCAGGGTTGTCCGCGACTGGACCTAATGGTCAGGGGTGCCTTTGCCTTTACTGCAAGTCTCCCTGGAAGAGGCAAAGAGGGACCCTTTGGCCAAGATTGGTGAAACGACTACATTTCCCACCTGGCCTGGGTCTATAACCAGCTTTGCACAGCCTGAGTCTGTTCTAGTCCCATCCCTGTCCCATAGGTAAAGGTAAAGGGACCCCTGACCATTAGGTCCAGTCATGGCTGACTCTGGGGTTGCGGCGCTCATCTCGCTTTATTGGCCGAGGGAGCCGGCGTACAGCTTCCGGTCCATGTGGCCAGCATGACTAAGCCGCTTCTGGTGAACCAGAACAGCACATGGAAACACCGTTTACCTTCCTGCCAGAGCGGTACCTATTTATCTACTTGCACTTGGACTTTGAACTGCTAGGTTGGCAGGAGCAGGGACCGAGCAACAGGAGCTCACCCCGTCGCGGGGATTCGAACCGCCAACCTTCTGATCGGCAAGTCCAAGCTCTGTGGTTTAACCCACAGCGCCACCCGCATCCCTCTGTCCCATAGCACAGGGCTATTAATAGACAGAAAGGCAGTGGGGAAAAACCTTGTGTGGCAGGGGGTGGGGGGGGTGCAAAGAATAGCCCAGCAAATGCTATACACAGGTTTTTCTCGCCAGTCCGTTACAAAATCCTGGGCTTATTCCCCAAAGCGACGACTCCAAATGTATTTTTAGCTGTGCCCCACTCACCTTCGTTTCTCGTTCTCGCTGCACCGGCACATTTCAGCAGAGATTATCGCACAGTGGTGTAGCACATGCTTTGCATTCAGATAGTCAGATTCAATCCACAGCATCTGGTGAAGACCGCTGCCTGAAACCCTGGAAAGTGGCTGCCTGTTCAGAGTAGGCATTTGTGAGCTAGATGAACCAACGGTCTGGTTTGGTAAAAAGTAGTTTCCTCCTGTGTTCAGTTTGCTAATTGTTCATTAGTTCTGCCCACAAGTGAGCCAGGCAAAATAATGGGTGCCTGCATGCTGCTGTTTGCTTTCTGTGGTTCAGTCTGTATGGAAATAATTAGAATGAGATTTAGCAAGACGCTCGCCTTTCACCCCTTCCAGCTCAATGGTTTTATGTAATGGTATTCTGTGAAATGGGAAATTTGTAATCAGTAGTAGCTGTTCCTGCTGCTGCTGCTATTTTTAATGCTGCCACAAATACATAGACTCTCTGGTCCCTAGTCCCTGGATGATGATCTTCTGTAACCTCCTAATTCTTGAGACAGTCTTATCTTTCTTCCGTAGCCATCAACTCCTGCCCCCAAATAGTACGACTGCACATCGTTCTCTAAACTCTCTACGCATTTCCCTCTCTGCTGCAAACGAGCATCCACTTTCCTAACAGCAGTTTTGGAGCCAGTCAACATTTTGTGACTGATCCATCCCAATCAACATTTGTTATATCACAGCAACTCATGGAATGGTTAAGAATCTGATTGGTGAGACAGGCAGCAGGCAGTGGAAGTTTGTGTTGTACAATACATACACTTTGAGCTGTACACAGTCAGTGCCCTGTTCGTGAGGCCAGAATGCAGAAGAGGAACACAAAGCTGTTGTTGGTGTCCGTCTGTCTCGAGAGACAATGGAGTGCACCTCTGGGGGTGAAGTGAAACTGGTGCAATAGCACAAGCCCGGGCAGTGTGTATGGAGGTCCTGGGCTGCCCAAGTGACACAACTCCCTTCTTGGCCTTGTTGATGTGGTCCAAAGGAAACATAAAACGAACTCTCTCATTCCAGGTGCCTTTTGCATTCCACTTTATGTGCCCTACGTGCTAACTGGCAGATGGACTTTCGGAAGAAGCTTTTGCAAGCTCTGGCTGGTGGTTGATTATCTGCTGTGCACCACGTCGGTCTTCAACATTGTACTGATTAGCTATGACAGATTCCTCTCGGTAACAAGAGCGGTGAGTAGTGACTATGCAAAAGAGTTGATTGTCTCTGATGGATTGCTGCTGTTTGTTTGCCTATTCCCCTCTTAAATTTTGCCCCTGATCCTCTAGCCTTATCACCTGCTTCTCTGAAATCCTGTGTAAGAGAAAAGAAAATGCAAGACTAGGTTTCACAGCATAGGAACATAGGAAGCTGACTTATACTGAATCATAGAATTGTAGAGTTGGAAGGGCTTTGCGGATCATCTAGTCCAAACATAGGCAAACTCAGCCCTCCAGATGTTTTGGGACTACAACTCCCATCATCCCTAGCTAACAGGACCAGTGGTCAGGGATGATGGAAGTTGTAGTCCCAAAACATAGGGAGGGCCGAGTTTGCCTATGCCTGATCTAGTCTGACCCTCTGCAATGCAAGCATCGAACTTGCGATCTAGGCTTTATCAGCACCACACTCTAACCCAACATTTCCCAACCTTGGGCCTCCAGCTGTTTTTGGACTACAACTCCCATAATCCTCAGCTAGCAAGACCAGTGGTCAGGGATGATGGGAATTGTAGTTCAAAAACAGCTGGAGGCGCAAGGTTGGGAAACACTGTTCTAACCAACTGAGCTATCAGGCCAATGGTCCATCTACTTTATTATTGTCTACACTGACAGTCAGTGGTTCTCCAGAGTTTTAGGCAGAGGTCTCTCCCAGAGTTACCTGGAGACACCAGGGATTGAACCTGGGACCTTCGGAGAGCAAAGCAGATGTTCTGCCACTAAGCTGTGGCCCTTCCCAATGCTGTATCATGCTAGAACCAAACTCACAGGTGCGGCTAGCTGCTGACCAGAGGCAGCTCAGCACAAAGAAAGTTGAGGCCTGAGCCGCAGCAGGGTGGAGCACAGGGACAGATATTCAGGAAGGCAGAAGCCATTCCAAGCCAGGGTCTGAAACTGGCACAGCTAAAGAAGGTTGCAACTGCTAGGGAGTGTGGTGGCCAATATCAGGAGCAGCTGGTGCCTTTTGGCGGCATCTAGAATTCCTTTAAAAGGACCTTGCGATTCTAGCCCCTTCTGACTGTAGGATAACCAGCTTCATATAACCAACATGCTTAAGCTTAATTAATGCACAAAGGGGTTAAAACTATAGAATAAGCTGTCATGCCAGGCTTAGTTCATCTTAAGAGGGACTAGATAATCAAGCCTTCATTCCCCTCCAGAGAAGCTCAATGTGTGAGGATGTCTGAACTGGTTGCTCCAAGCTCAGACCGCATGGCTCTCACAAGCCACTCTTGAGTTCCTATAGCAATAATTAGGGATTTCCACCACTTTGTAATAAAATCAAGTTTTACTGCTTATGCAGCTTTTCTGACTGGTGTGTGGAAAAGCACATGAAACTGACCTTTGAAGCGTTTGTAAGGAAACCATTTTTATCTTACCAAACGTGTGGTGTTTTTCCTATTCTGGGAGACGAGGAAAGTTTTGGAACTGACAAGGGCATATTTGAAGGTTCTAACAGCCTATATTTCCATGCTTTGCTTTGCTTTGCTTTGCTTTGCTTTGCTGTATATTTTGTGGTTTTAAATCTCTGCTGGAGTTCTCTCACCAAAGAGAATGTGGCCCAGGCTTGGATCTTGGCATCCAGAAATTCTCCTTTGTATTTATACCTATTTTCCCTCCTTGCAGTCAGAGGACATCTGTTTGAAGGACAATTGTTGGAACAAAGCAGAAAGTGTCCTGCTCACCAATGCTGTAACTTTCTTTCCTATTCCAAGCATACCATACATTTAAAGCACACTGGGAATTGCAGTTTGTTAAGTGCGCTGGGAATTGTAGCTCTGTGAAGAGTAAATTACAGTCACCAAGATTCTTTGAGGGAGGCTATAGCTATTCAGATACCATAAATGCACTTTAAATATGTGGTGTGGGTGAGACTGTAGGAAGGATCACTTTCAGAAATATTTGCTTGATGTCGTCTGCCCACTTGTGCGCACAGAATTCTGAATTCTTGCCACCCGACATTTGATTAAAGCTAGCAGCAGCAAAACAAGTGACTGGTCAATGATAATGATGCATAATTACCACTGTCTATACTTTTCTGCATCTCATTTCCTCCAGACCTCACTGCTTACCATTCCTGCTCCCCAGCCCCATGTTTAAATATACCTACAACTCAGGACAATACATCATGGATATGATGAAATGGACTGTAGTCCATGAAAAGTAATGCCGTAAACTGTGTTCGTCTTTAAGGTGCTGCAAGACTTTCTCTATCTTCTTACAACAGACTAGCATAGCCACCCTTCTGGAAATGCAATAAATAAATAAATATGCAGCTCTGTACTTAAAGTGCAGGGTTTTGTGACCGATTGTAAATGTTCGTATCCCCCCCCCTTTTTGGTACATGTATTTACACACACAAAAATGCTGATAGCTGGGTGGTGGTGGGGGGGAGGAGCACATCTGAGAGTGACAAATAATGAAATTGGACTTTGTATGCATAGAACCATAGAGAAAGTCCTACCCCCTGATCACAAACCTTCCGTCATGGCTGCTTTTCGTTTGAAAGCCATTGTTGCGCTCTCTACATGCTATCTTCCTGTTTTCAAAATTTTCAACACAGTCATGGGGACTAGAAAGTTACTCTTAAAACTCCCAAAAGCTAGCACTAGCAGTATTACCAGAGGGAGAGAACCGGATTTTGTGCAAGAACCCATATTTCATCCTTTTGCTGCAGAAAAACCTTTCAAAGGCACTGATAGCTAAGTGGGTAGGTAGCATGTCAAAATAAAACTAAAAAGAAGAAGAAGGAAAATAGGAGAGTGGTGTAGCTGAAACATTTCTTTGTAATAGGTTATCAGAGCTATGATGGAGCGAAAGAGGATGGAAGATTTAAAATACTAAAAATGGCATTTACGAAGGATTGCTGTGTACATGTTGCCAACTCCATTTTCCCACCAGGTGACAAACAGAGATAAACCACATATAAAACTAGGGGCTACACAGAGCGGCAGAGCAAGGCGATCAGGCGTCTGCCAGCCAGGGCAGGACGCTCTGTGGGGCCTCCGAGGAGTCTGCTTGCCTCCTCCCTACAGCTGAGGGTCATGCGGCGGGTGGACCCTTTGAGACAGAAGAGATGCGTGGCACGGGCATGCTGCAGGCCCTGCGGTGAGTGCCACCCGGCATTTTGTCACCCCCCTCAGTGGTGACACCCGGGGCGGCCCGCCCCTATCGTACCCCTCTTCCTCCGTCCCTGGCTATGCAGCAGTGAAATATGTGATCAATTGCCTGCCTTTCACTAGTTGTTATTGTTATGGTTGCATGCCATCCCAACCTGAAAGAGCGTCTCCACCCCCCATCGGTCTGCCCAGGCACTGAGGTCCAGCGCCAAGGGCTTTCTGGCGGTTCCCTCTACACGAGACATGAGGTTACAGGGAACCAGGCAGAGGGCCTTTTCGGTAGTGGTGCCTGTCCTGTGGAATGCCCTCCCACCAGATGTCAAGGAGAAAAACAACTACCAGACTTTTGGAAGACATCTGAAGGCAGCCCTGCTTAGGGAAGCTTTTAATGTTTAACAGACTACTGTATTTTAATACTTTGTTGGAAGCCGCACAGAGTGGCTGGGGAAACCCAGCCACATGGGCGGGGTATAAATAATAAATTATTATTATATATATTATTATTAACCTCCGAGCTGCATGAGATCCCAGGGGTTTCCAGGCACTTCCCCAGGTTTTGGTTTCCTTGGAATGAGGGAGAACGGAGACTGTGGTCTTTTTAAGATATGTGGTTTATTTACACATATATACAACCTGAACCTACGACGGAGGGGTTCCCAGCATCAACACCCCAGGAGCACTTTGTTTCTGCCATAGCTGCAGCCTTGGATTCAAACAGAAATCAGACATTGCTCCATCTCTCTCTAGTTTGTTGCTTTGCCTTTGCGTAGCTCACATCACTGCAATTCTCTGCCCTGTCTGTAGAGGGAGGGGAGTCCCCATCCATTTGCCGTCTAGTGCCGAACCCCTTAATCCTCCATCACCTCACCAGGAAGCTGTCTTGGCTATTCCGGGAATTAGGGGTCTTGCTGGATCCAGGGATTAGAGGGGTCTGGCATACAGTTTAACATAGGGTTACTAGACGTCCCCGGTTCCCAGGGACAGTCCCCAGATTTGCAAATCTGTCCCTGGACAAATTGTGTTCCCAGAATGCCCCCAGATTTGCAGATCTGTCCCCAGGAAACTGGGCAACGGCAGCCTGTCCGCAATTCCCAAGCCTCCCCTGATCAGTTGCCTATAGTAACCATAGTTTAACACACCAAACTCATATCATCATTCCATGTTTTTCATTTATGATATGCTTCTCTGGGCTAATTAGAAATTTTAGGCAGTTGGTTAGCCTGAGAAAGTGTGTTTTAGCCCATGAACGAAAATGTGTGTGGTTCAGATTTGGGTTTCCTCCATCCAAGGCTGGCATTTAAATCACGGCACCCCATTGGCAAATCAAACCATTGGTCTATCTAGGTCACTATTGTCCCTACACTGACCCTCAGCAGCTCTCAAGCAGGGAATCTTTCCCAGTCGTACCTGGAGACGTCGGGGATTGAACCTGGAACCTTCTGCTCGCGAAGCAATTGCTCTTCCACAGAGCTATCACCCTTCTTCCCCTAAATGCCAGTTCAGGTATTATGCTGAAGCAAACCTCCAAGTGTTCACCCCAACAGGCCCAGTCAATCAGGGCATACTTATATATGACATGTTTACAGACACGTATTTATATTAGGGAAAACTACTCCTGACTTTAATTAAGCTTTGCATCTAGAATGCAGGCTTATTAAACATGCAAATTGCTTTATCCAGGGATTGGGAAACTGAGCAGCATCAGGACTGCAGCGAGCACAGAGGGGAAATGGAACCATCTTATGGTTCTAGGCAAAAACATTCCTGCCACGCTAGCATTTGCAGTGAGAAGAAATCCCTGCACCGGCGCAAAGTCAGGGCAGAGCCCACCATCATTTTCCTGCACACTCAGGAGCTTGGGGAGTTGCCTTGTAGTGAATTAAACCATTGGCCCATCCAGTTCAATATTGTTGGCACTGACTGGGAGAAATTCCCCAGGGTTTCTGGCAAGGGACATTCCCCTAGAGAGCTCAGTCGGTAGAACACGGGGCTCTTAATCCCAGGGCCGCAGGTTCAAATGCCACATTGAGTGAAAGATTCTTGCAGTGCCGGGGGTTGGACTAGATGATCCTCGTGGCCCCTTACAACTCTAAAATTCAATGATTCTATCTGCAGATGTGGAGGATAGAATCTGGGACCCTCTGCATGCAAGACAGGTGCTCTATCACATACCCCACAAGTGTCCCGTTTTAAGCGAGACATGCTGAATCACAGAAGACTCATTGGATCCTGGAATGTCCCATTTTTTGGGATCCGGTGAAACAGAAGATGCTCACTCTGGTGTGAGTCATCAGGGTCAGGTCAGAGTGCTGAGACAGAAGGGGCTCTGGTGCGATCCTGCTGCCCACTGCTGAAGAACTAGACCGGAAGCCGTGCCCCTCCTGGCATCCCAATTTTGGGGATGAAAACGAGGCTAAAGTGCCTCCCTGCACACAAAAATCCACTCTATTCTTCTCCTGCCCAGGTTCTATCAGCCAAAAAATATGCCATTTTTAAGTTGCTAGCCTAGTGGAAGGAAGCATTCACTTTTAAAATGTCCATCTTAATCCATTAGCGTGTGGTTGTCTAAGGCCAAAGAAATCACTTCCATTAGCCCAAGTCTCTCCTACCTTTCTCTCATCCCCTTTCATTGCTGCTCACAGCGGTAAGTCTGGGGAAAGCAGGTAGATAAAGCTGGCCATTAACATAAGTAGCTAATCTGCACGTAACAACAAGGCTTTTAATAGGAAAGTTCAGTGGGAAAACATCAGCAGATGCACTTAAAAGAATGTGTCCTCGCCTGTTTCTTTTGTTTGCCTTAGATCACATAACACAAGCGAAAATTGTGTGTTAGTCTTATGCAGCAAAAAGAATGATGGTGGGTGGAATTCAACATGGTGCCAGGCGAAAGGATCCCTCCTCACCTCCCGTCCCTTGTCCCACCTGGTGTTCTGGGGGTTCCCCCAACACACACAGGGAAATTGGGGGCGTGGGGAGGAAATGAGAGAGGGAAAGTCCCATTGTGTAAGTGGAAGTTCCCACTCAGGGCTTTTGCCGATGGGGCTCACTAGGTTAATACCACCCAGAGAGCCCTACGGAAACTTAAAAACCAACATTATGTATTATGTATTATGGTGAAAGCTTTTGTGGGTTACAGTTCTCTTCATCAGAAGCACAATGTGTTTTCCTGAGCTGCAGATATATATTTGGAATGCACTCCCTGCTGAAATGCAAGAGACCACCATCTGTATGGGCATTCTGTGGGCTTTTGAAAACACACCTGTTTACACAGGTGTTCCCTTGATCTAGTCACTCCCCTGTTTTACTTGCCGTTCTATTTTCATGGGATTGTTTTATTGTACATTTTTAAATATGGATGTTTATGCCAACGTAACTCCCTCATCCTGGCTCAACCTGGGCTATGCTGGTAGAATTTAAGCCAATGGAATTTACACCTGCATAAGTCCCCAAAAGGGGTGCATTCTGGAAGCAAGACAGGGCCAAGCATTTCCTTATTTTTAACTGCAAAATCTCTTTGAGGACCTGTGATGGCAAGGATCATCACGGCCCAAGATAAACTCAAATGGCTGCACTAATATTCATTTCATTTAGCACGATGCATTTCAGCACATGAGATAATGAACGAATTGATGGAGCGTCAAAAAAAACAAAACCCACCTTCAAATATTAATACATGATATGTAGCAGGTTGAGAGACTAAAAGCCTTTTTATGCTTTTCACACTAATGATATAACTAGCATCGCTTTTATGCAAATGCATTGAACATTTCTTTCTTTTTTTAAGTACAGAACATGTTCCAGAAATTCTGAGATTACTGCATAGCAGACTTAAACAGCTCTTCTTTTAAGCCATTTGTTCTGTCCAGATAATCATGCAAACCTCCAGTGCTAATACACCCCAGATGCTCTTGATGGGTTTACACTCCCTCTGAAGGAGTGGGTATGTAGCTTGGAGGGAACTTCTGGGTCCTTTGCTGTCGGTTGAGGTTCAGGTGGCTTCAGTAGTGCAGAGTGCCTTCAATCACCTACAGCTGCTGGTCCAGCTGCACCCCCATCTGGGCAGGGATAGCCTAACTTCTGTCATCTATGCTCTGGTAACCTCTAGCTTAGATTACTGCACCACAATAAATGCGGTGCTGCTTCTGAGTAACAGCATAGCTGTCAACCTTCCCCTTTTTTGTTGGAAATTCCCTTATTCCAGCACCGTTTCCAGCTGCTTCCCGCTGCTATCCCGGATTGTTAGATATCCCGTAGACTGTCCCCGGGACAGATGAGGCTGCTGATCCTTTATTTTCAAATTTGAAAGTAGACAGCTATGGAGTACAGTTCAGAAACTTCAGCTGGTGCAGAATTCAGCAGCCAGCTTGCTCACCAGGGCAAGATGATTTGAGCAGATTACGCTGATCCTGGCCCGACTGCACTGGCTGCCAATTAGTTTCCGGGCCCATTTCAAAGTGCTGGTTTTGAACTATAAAGCCTTAAACAGCACAGGACTGCAATAATTCAAGGACCATATGAAGCAACCCAGACCCTGCAATCATCATCTGAGGCCCTTCTTCATGTCCTTCATAAACTTCTCCTCCTTTCAGAATTTTGAACAGCTGACCTGAAATTTCTCAGAAAAGTTTCCTGATAATGTTGAAGCCCCTCCCAATACAATGCCTGTGGTTGCAATGATACCCTAGAGCTCTTCTGTTGATGCCCCCAAAGCCTCTCATCCACCCCACTCACTGCCCCATTAACCATGAGATGAAGAAGTTACCCTTTTCTCCCTTGAGAAGTACATATTGCTGAAGGAGGAAGTTGGGAGAGAGACACTCTGTCCCACTTCCTCTTTTGGCTCTATGAGCTTTTCAAGGTTCGGACTCCTTCTACTGGGTCTGACTTTTATACAGATCACTTGGGAAAGTAAAGTGTGTGCCTGCTTGCTTCCTCTTGCTGTGCCTTGGGTGGGGCTGGTCCAGGAGAGACAGGTGAGAAGTGGTACCCACAGAACTTGCTCCAAAATCCAAGTGCGCCCATGTGCCTAAAAAGGTTGGTGATCTAAAGAAAACAACTGCATGTTCTCCCTTTACAGGTGTCCTACAGAGCTCAGCAAGGAGACACCAAGCAAGCCGTGTTCAAGATGGCGATGGTGTGGGTATTAGCCTTCCTGCTCTATGGACCTGCGATTATCAGCTGGGAGTACATATCCGGCCGAAGCATCATACCCGACGGGGAATGCTACGCTGAGTTTTTCTACAACTGGTATTTCCTCATCACAGCCTCCACCATCGAGTTTTTCACCCCATTCATCAGCGTGGCCTTTTTCAACTTGAGCATTTACCTGAACATCCAGAGGCGCACCAAAGCCCGCTTGGATGTGGTGCATGAGGCTCAGAACCAGAATTTTGTGGAGGAGATCGAAATGAGCCCTGAAGCCCAGCTCTCCATGAAATGCTGCAAGTGGGAGCAGAGAGATCTGGCAGAAACTCTGGGTGTCCCAAAATGGGACGCCCAAGAAGAAAGCAGCAAAGAGAGTACGAATGTCAAGTATTCGAGCACAGAGAGCTCTGGGTTTACCGGCAGCAAAGCAAAGCTTTTCATCAAAAAGAATTACAAACACTCAACATCTACTCTTTCTCTAGAGAAACGGATGAAGGTGGCTTCCCAGAACATGAGCCAACGTTTTAGGCTCACCAGAGACAAGAAAGTAGCCAAATCTCTGGCCGTTATAGTGGGGATTTTTGGCCTCTGCTGGGCACCGTACACACTTCTCATGATTATCCGAGCTGCATGTCACGGTCACTGTGTCCCTGAGTACTGGTATGAGACCTCCTTCTGGCTTCTGTGGGTCAATTCTGCCATCAACCCTGTCCTTTACCCTCTCTGCCACCACAGCTTCCGGAGAGCTTTTGTTAAACTCTTGTGCCCCAAGAAACTCAAGATCCAACCTCACAGTTCCCTCCAGAAATGCTGGAAGTAACTAGTTTCAATTCATTGTAGGCTAGAAAGGATACTTTCTGCCATATTGCTCTGCAGGAGTTTGCTTCTTTTGAGAGGTGTTGCTTTTGAGAGGTGTTGAGCTGTTGTCCGGGGCTAGGAACCTACCAGGGTTATATACCCTGTAGGACAGGGATGGGTAACCTGCGGCACCTAAGGATGGTGAGGAAATTTGATTCCGGTTACATTTAAAGGCAAACCTAGTCCACACTTTCCAAAGCAATAGGAGAACTGAAACACAGCCACCATTTAAAATTCACTTCTGCAAATGACAGTTCTCTGGCCAAGTCACATGGGGGGGAATACCCTGCATATACAAGGGGAAAGTGTGGTGAAATATCCACTCACGAGTGAAAATAGCATAGAAACATGCATTATATATGGGGAAACTGATTTGCAAAAATATGTCTATTGGGCAAAAATTCATGCAAAGATACATTGAGTAGGAGAAATTCATGCTAAAATGCTGATAACTTTTCATTAAGATTTTTTTAAAGAAACAATTCACAGGTTGCTGCAAAATTGTGGAAAACTGAATTTAAGATTGGGGGGAAATGAGAAATTGAGGGAACTGAAATCGACAGGTCTATTCATCCTAGTGGCACTCCAGATATTTTTGGATTACAGCGCATAGGAACATAGGAAGTTGACGTACACAAAGTCAAAATATTGGTGCAAATAGCTCCGTATCTGCTGCACTGACCAGGTAGCACTGTCTCCCTGCTATACCTGGGGGTTGAACTTCGGATCCTGTGCCTGTAAAGCATGGATGATGCCACTGAGCTGTTTTCCTCTCCTTCATGGCCAATCAAGTATTTGAATCTTAGCTTTGCCCAGCCTCACTGGCACTAGCCTTGTCTTTTGTATGTGCCCAGGAAGTTGAGTCTAACTCCAGCACAGATGAGGGGCAGCCTCATCCACTAAACCATATATATATATATATATATATATATATATATATATATATATCCCCAACTTTTAAGAAAGATTCTCCATGCAGAGTTTTCATTGCAAAAAGGCTTATGAAGGGCGACAAGCGAAAAATGATTTAAAACCATTTAAATCAGCCGTGCCATACTCCTACTACAGAGACATCGCGCAAACAGCAAACAACCCAAGATAAACTAAACATACAGTAGCCGGACCATGGGCAGATTTCTGCAGCTCTAGGAGCCAACGCCTAGGGGCCAAGCTGAATATCTTAGGCTGGCCCTCCCTTCAGGAGCATTTTGCCACTGCAGAATGAACCAAACAAGAAGCAGACCCATCATGTGTGGTGCACTACTTGCTGGACCACACCACTTCAGACAGCACTTGGGAAAATCACGTTAGAAAGCTTCTCCACCCCCATACACAAAACTCCCAGGCAGTGATGGTTTAGCCCTCTTGCTGCTGACTACTTTCCCCCAATTGCTTCTCCATCCGCCCCCTTTAGGGTGCCAGACCCATGTTTGAAAAAGGAGCCACAGGAAAAAAGGGGCTTGCTTACCTTATTTTTGTTTGTTTTGCAAAAAAAAGGGGGTGATTTGCACATACATAAAATCTAAAGAAAAAGTATAGGCCACATTTTCATACACACACAAACAGAGGGAGAGAGAGAGAGAAGTGAGTATATACACCACGGCAGCATGCAGCATACAAAATCACAATAACGTCAATAAAAATATCAATGAAAATTGGTTGGGAAAAGGAAATTTGTGTTTCAATAATTTTTATTAAGTTTTCAGTAAAAAATTAAACAGAAAAACATAAAAAAGAAATACACAAATACACATAAAAAAGAAATACACAAATACACAATACATAATCCAAAGAGGAAAAAAAAAGAAAACAGAACAATTAAAAAGAATCACCTTTTCATTTCCGTGTTTAAATTTACTTATTTTCTGGACCTCCTCATACCTCCCTCTTTTGTATTCCAGTCCAAATTGTTTGTCCAGCAATTTCTTTTCCACTTTTTTAATCCCAATCTTTAATCTTTAATATAATATAGCATTAAAATTTTACCTCTTAAAATACCAAATTTCCATTTCCTTAAACTTCTTTAGTCCTAATCTTTAATCTTAATCTATCTATTGTGTTTCAAAGACCTTTCTGAATAATCCAGGGGAGATTTCCACAGGGAGTTCACCACACTAAAGGTTCACTCAGAAGACTGACTGAATCTTTTGAGAAGCCTTTAAAAAACAACACACTACCAAATGGTTATTTAAAATGTGAAATATTGCATAACGGCAATGTTAAAGATTTCCAAAGAAGCACCCACATTTTGGCCTTCTAAACTGTCCTGAAAGTTCAAGACACATAAGAAAAAAAGAAAATCTGTATAATTTTTTTTAAAATAGGGGCTAATGAGTCTTCAATAAAGATAATAACACTTAGCATATGTTTTCATATTAATGTTAAAAGCATTCCACAGACATTAGTTCAGGCATCATTACAATAACCCTGGAAAATAGGCAAATTTTATTATCCCTGCAGGTGACAAAGCCTCCATTTTGCACATGGGATGATATGGACTGAAGTTGAAAATTGACAACTCCAGCCCTTAGTCATCCTGTTAACAATGTGTGCAAGTTTTCAAACTGGGCCAGTTCTGAAAGCAACATTCTTTGCTAAGCACATCAATACTGAAGGATAAAAGAGAGATGTTCTTCCTTCTGGATGCGAGTCTAAGAATTTTGTTGCACGGCCTGCTTCTTATACATGAATGGGAAAGGAGCACGAACGAAAGAGCACCAATTACAGATTCATGATACTTACCATCTGGGGTGGGGGAAATGACAGTTCTCATTTGTCAACATTAATAAGCGTTTTCCCAATCTCAGGGTGCATTTTCACTCTGGCAAGTCTGCTTTGATCAGCGGCAACCGTGAGCTTGTTTCCGTAATGGTTACATTTCAAAGCAGACGTTTTTCACAAAGGAGACGTGGGGACAGAGAAAGGAGGATAGGAAACTGCTTGATTTCAGGTCGGACCACTGGCCCATCTAGTGACTCTTCAGGGTTTCAGGCAGGGGAGATTTCCAGACCTACATGGAAACATCAGAGAGTGGATTTGGTGGATTTGGTTCCTGCTGATGCTCTACCGCAGGCATAGGCAAACTCCGGCCCTCCAGATGTTTGGGACTACAATTCCCATCGTCCCTAGCTAACAGGACCATTGGTCAGGGATGATGGGAATTGTAGTCCCAAACATCTGGAGGGCCGGAGTTTGCCTATGCCTGCTCTACTACTTAGCTATGGCCTTGCAACAGCATCATCCAGAGGCCCTTGCGGAATATTGTGGCAAAGAAGGGATGGAAGAGGAATAAGTAAGAGTCCGTGTCCTCCTTCAACACCCTATGTGCCTTTATAGCCCAGGCCCAATCTGTGATGTACATTTAACACTGTATCATGCCACTTAACCACTTAAAGTCTGTGGTTTCTCCCAAAGAATCCTGGGAAATGTTGTTTGTCAAGGTTGCTGAGAGTATTTAGGAGATCCCTATTCCCCTCACAGTGGCAGAGCTAACATTCCCAGGCTGGTTTAACAAGCAGGAAACTCTGGGAATGGTAGCTCTGTGAGGAGGTGGGGGGGTGTCTCCTAACAACTCTCAGCACTCTTCGCAAGAGACAGTCCCTGGGAATCTTTGGAAGAAGCCACGGCTGTTTGGAATGGTACGGCACTGCTTTAAATGTATAGTCCGGATGAGGACCCAGACTCATCCGATAGCAAAGACTAGGAGGGGGTGGTTGCAGTTGAATGAGGGTTGCCTGGCAAATAGGATCTCAGCTCTGCTTCCTGGGATTGAATTGATCAAGTGTGAGCTTATCTATGGGGCTGAGCTAAAGCAAAAAAACATCACTGGCAATGCAAGATACTGAGTCAATTCTCCCACCAGCACGCCAGCCAAGGTCTGTTGCTCAGACCAGGCCAGCTGATACTATGAGGAAATGATCTACTACTATTTGCATAAATTCAGATAGCCCAATTTCCCCCTTGAATGTGGGCATTTGCAATCACCCAACTGGCACCCGTCTGTCTTGGGAGACAATGGAGGAGTGTGCCTTTCGGGGTGAGGTCAAGCTGTTGGGGGGTTGCAGTGCCTGCTGTGGCTGCAGAGACCGATGCAGGAGAGACATGTTTTGTTGCAGCCGGGGCAGAGGAAGGCATCCGGTTGTGCTGCTGTGGATGCACCGTGGCGTTTCTTCCCTCTGCAATCACCAAGTGACGGGAATTACGCAGAACGCTTTTATCCGAGGGGGTTGCAGTAAGGGATGAACCGGCACGCCTTGACAAGTTACAAAAATCTACCTTGTCTAACAAGTGGTGGAACATAGGAGCCTAGTAGGAAGCTGCCTTATAGACAATAAGACCATTGGTGCATCCAGCTCAGTGTCATATACACAGAATGGCAGAAGATACTGGGGGTTTAAGGCAGAAGTTTCATTCAGTCCTACCTGGAGATAGCAAAGATTGAACCTGGAATCTCCTGCATGCAGAACAGACTCTCTGCCACTGAGCCAAGGCCCTCCTCCTGGAGGCTGCAGAGTCTAAGGCTGTTCACACACTCCTGTTTACTCTGTATCCAGGGTGCCCCCACTGCTGGTTTAAGTAAGTGGTGTACACATGGCATTGGACACAACCTAAACATCTCCTGTGGTTTCTTCAGTATTTTGATGTGTCTCTCTCCAAGGCAACTTCTGTCCGGTTTGAAAACATAAGGCATACAAAGACACCTGCACATCACTATGCTCAGCCAGGGGGCTGATGTGCACAACCGCATGCAAATGCGATTTGCCACGCAGCACGGGGGCGAGGGGAGGAACAACCTTGCTGCGTTGCAAGCCAGCAATGTGTACATAGTCTAATTCTCACTGGATCGCTTGAGGCAACAGAATTCCACTTGATTCCCCAACCAGTCAGTGATGGAAAGTCAATGTTTGTTGAAGCAAAATAAATTAGTTATCTGACTTCAGTCTCTGTACATTGAGCTGTCTGCAGGGTGTTCAGACGGAACGCAGGCAGATGCTGTTTATCGAGTCAGGCCGTTTGCCATCGAGCTGCGCAATGTCTGCTGAGCATGGGCAGGCAGCAGCTCACCAGGGTTTCAGGCAGGGTCCCCGTCCGACCTGGGGACAGCACAAATTGAACCTGCAACATTTGCATGCAAAGCGTGGGCTCTACCACTGAGCTACTCAGCCCTTTCCCTGACCCTGCTTCCAGGCATGCTTAAACACACAATGTGAAGGATCATGAGTAGCATTGCCACTAGAACGGAAGATACCATTTGGCTCTGCTGAGCAGAGTCACTGGGTAAGTGCCAGGTGCAATAGTGACTGGTGCCCATTGGGGCTGGCAGGGCAAAAGATGGGATGGAGGGCAATGGAAGGCAGAGCCAGAAGAAGCGATGGGTGCAGTCTGATTTTATCTCTGGTTTCCTCCATGCTAAGTCCTACAGAGGCAACACTGAGCCTAAAGAGGAGGAAACAGGCAGAGACACTAGACAGGGAGGAATTGGTGGGGGGCTACAGCCAGGGAATGCTGCCCAGGAAACATCCGAGTGGGAAAGCTACAAGCCAGGAGAATGGTGGTGGGGTTCAGGAGACAGGTCAGAGGAGGATGAGGGTGCAGATGGGTTGGAGGCTGAGCAAGCAACAGGTTTAAGTGAGGAGGAAGAGGAGCCACTTGCCAGTTCCACTGCTTCCTTCTCCCATCCTCCTCCGTAGAATCATAGAACTCTAGAGTTGGATGGGACCCTGAGGATCATCTAGTTACAACTCCTTTAATTAGCAGGAATATGCAGCTGTCCCATGCATGGATCGAACCTGCAGCCTTGGCGTTATCAGCACTGCACGCTAACCGACTGAGCCATCCATGCACTTTGGCAGAACAAAAGGCACTGAGAGCCCCTCCTTGAAGGAGTTCACAACTGTTGGGAAGGCAGCAGGCTTAGGAGAAAGTGGAAGGCTCACATGCTCAGTTCTGGCAACTGCTTCGTGGGGCCAGTCTTGCCCCTGGAGTTCTCTGTGGGTTTCGTCTCTCTGGGTAAAGAACCAACCTTACTGCTCATCTCTGAGTTTCTATGCTAAACCAGCCCTGACACAGGATCCCCTCCTGGACTGGCTGTATGTAAGAAGGCAGGCCGGTGCAGTTGACTGAGTCTGTTGGATCTTGCCTCTGTTTGCCCTGATGCTCCCGTCTTCCTGATGACATTATTCCCCGCAATTGTCAGGAAGATGGAATAAGTTTACCTGGGTTACAAAAATAAACTCCATGTTGTTTATGCTAGTACTGTGAACTTCAATAAATGTCTGAGAAGCTACTCCTGAATAAGTGAACGATGCTTTCCAGGAGAACATAAAGTTCTCTCCTTAACGTGCTGTAGATGAAGCTACATGCTCCCTCAATGCCATTCCATCACAGACTGATAATACTAAGTACAGTTTGTACTCAGATCTAAAGAGCACTGAATTAGCAGCTGGTGGAAATAAAGAATTCCTTCATCTGATCATTGTAAGTACGTGCGATGAGGAGTGTCCTTGCTACAAAACTCTTCCTTTAAGTATAAATAAATCCAAAACTGCTTTGTTTAGTTGCCGTTAGCATCACTGTGTTTCTTGATCTCTGCTAGAAATTAAGGCACTATTATAATAATCCAGTTTTCCCTGCAGCATTTGTTGGTTAGATAAATATGCCTTTGGCCGTGCAGTGTCTTCGATGTCCTGTCTATTATGTGCAGTACTTTGCAGTATGGGCTCAGTCCAGTGAAGAATTGCATATTGATTAACAATGATACTTTTAAAAAAAACAAACACAAACCAATTGTAATATGTAAAAAGAAACAAACACTGTGAGCTTGCAAGTTTGGCCTGTCTTGGTTGTAAGCTTTTCTTGTTACATCGCCAATCTGTAAGAAACATAATAAAAAGTATTTTCTTAGATCGATGTTTCTTGCGTGCTTTGTAGAAAGACAAAGGTGCAATTTCTTTTAAAGAAATGTACAGGTCAGCTTTCGGCCCTGTCTGTGTCTGAATGCTCCTGTTTAGCATAATTTAAAACAGTTTCAATCTAAAGCCCTTCTTTCCTTTGCAATAGGTAGAAAATTCAAACTTACAATGGGCTTGGCCCTGTCAAACTTAAACACTTTTGCCTCATTTTGTCTCTTTTAACATGCAAAACTCTATGGCTAGCAGTAACTCTGGAATGAAGAAGAAGAAGAAGAAGAAGAGTTTGGATTTGATATCCTGCCTTTCACTCCCCTTCAGGAGTCTCAAAGCGGCTAACAATCTCCTTTCCCTTCCTCCCCCACAACAAACACTCTGTGAGGTGAGCGGGGCTGAGAGACTTCAGAGAAGTGTGACTGGCCCAAGGTCACCCAGCAGCTGCATGTGGAGGAGCGGAGACGCGAACCCGGTTCCCCAGATTACGAGACTACCGCTCTTAACCACTACACCACACTGGCCCACATATATGAAAGATATATGTGTGTGCATTCAAGCTGCTTTCGAACTGCCTTACAAGGATGCAGGGAGAGTCTTGCTAGACCATTCCAAAAGGCTCAGCATCCTGTTTCTGACAAGACTCTCTCCTGTTCTTACTGCCACAGACTAATGCAGCTACACCTCTGGAAGCTGAACATTTTGGACTGCAATCCTATACCCACTTGGCCATGTTGAATTTATCGGGACCTGTAGTGCAATCCTGTACATGTCTCCTCAGAAGTAAGCCCCTTGAGTTGAACCAAGTTTCCTCCCAGATAAGTGAGTATTGGATTGAAGACACTGGGTGCTTCCAAACTGTTGCTATTTTCAGGTGTGATTCAATCACATGCTGGCAAATTCAGGTTGCTCGAGTAAAGTTGATTTGACACTCTTGTGCTAGAAACTGATTTCCCCATAGCCATATATATATGTGTGTGTGTATATATATATATATATATGGAGAGTGATGGGAAAATGCATTGAAAGGTGTGGAATAATACTTACCTGCTTCCATGTTGCATAAGCTCCTGGCAAGCAAATTGTCAGTAAACCGCCGATGTCAGCTAACCTTCCTGCAAATTAAAGTTGATTTGCACAGTTAACCCACTTCCCCAAAAAGTTTGGACTTTTAGTGATAGGGAAAGTGATTGGGTAGGCACTGGGAAAGTATAGGGGTGTTGTTGTTTTTAAAGTGGATTTGCTCCACTAGGGCAACAGAACATTTTAATCCATGTTCAATGTTATCGTATGCACTTGAATCTCTTCTATGGAATGCCGGCAGTCTGGCAGCACCCCTGTCTTTTTGTCCTTTCCCACCCTCTTACTTTATAAAAGGATCAGTAATGGTTTAGTTAAAACTGGGTGTTTGAAGGGGAGCGTGGTTTCAGAAGCATTATCCTAGATTCTTTCGGTTTTCTCCAACATAATGCTTCTGTAATATTAAGATTATCATGTTTTGCTTTCTGTTGTTTTTTTCCTGGAGGAAAAAACCCACAAACGAGGGACCTCAGGTGTGGGTTGTTAGCTTTCTCATCACTATAGCAAGAAAAAAACAACAAGCCAGATGTTTTCTCCTGCTGTCTCCCTTCTCCAGTGATATAATATACTTAACATTTCTCGTATTGGCTGTGCCTGTGAAACAGCAGCGTGAAAACCACCATATTTTTTCTCCTTTGAAGGTCATTTCAAAAGAATGAATGACTGATCTAGCAGCAGCATAATGTCCTATGAGTCTTCTTGCCTTAGGCAAATGGAGAAAGCCCACCAGGAAGGCAGCAGAGAAGTCTGTGAAAGGGAATCAAGATCGGATTAATCACCATGTTGGCTAAACTACAGTCTGCAGAGGATGGTTTCAGACAAGCAGCAATGCCTTTATTTCTAAATGGATAGGAAGTGGAGGACAAGTCCACTGGCATGACGCACCCCCTGACCTGAAAAAACCTTCTGTCAATCCCAGATACAGTGGTATCTCGGAATTTGAACAGAATCTGTTTTGAAAGCCCGTTTGACTTCCAAAAGACACGGCTTCTGATTGGCTGCAGGAGTTTCCTGCACTCTGTCAGAAGCCGTGGAAACTATGCCGGATGTTCGGGTTCCACAAAACGTTCGCAAACTGCAATGCTCACTTCTGGGTTTGCGATATTCGGGAGCCAAAATGTTCAACTCGCAAGACATTTGGGATCCAAGGTACGACTGTACAGTGGTACCTTGGGTTACATACGCTTCAGATTACATACGCTTCAGGTTACAGACTCCGCTAACCCAGAAATAGTGCATCAGGTTAAGAACTTTGCTTCAGGATGAGAACAGAAATCGTGCTCCAGTGGCACGGCAGCAGCAGGAGGCCCCATTAGCTAAAGTGGTGCTTCAGGTTAAGAACAGTTTCAGGTTAAGAACGGACCTCGGGAACGAATTAAGTACTTAACCCAAGGTACCACTGTATATGAAAACAGGCAAACATGAGAAAGAGTGGAGGAATCTGTACATGGAAATCAACTCGATCTCTTTGCCACTGAATGCAGAAAGTAACTTGTTGCCTCTGGCATGAGACTGGTGTGCAAAATGGGCTGGATCCAGACCTAGTCGTTCTCAGAGTTCCATTGATTTCAATGGAGCTACTCTAACTAAGTCTGGTTCCAGCCTTCTTTTTAGATTCTCTAAACCAAATATGACTGATATGTTGTGAAGAATTGCAGGAGGGGTACGGATACCCCTTTTTTATGGAGCTGCTCAGGTACAATGAAAGCAGAGAAAAGTGTTCTGCACTTGAAAGCCTAATGGCATAAGCTTCCATGGACCAGAGATGCATGGAGAGAATTACACAGAGATTTTTAGTTGGCAGGTACAGGTTTAGGTGATGGAGGTGGAACTGTGAACAGCGGAGTTAAGTATCGACGAAATGCAAAAGGTGCCATCTGTTGCAAGTACAATGAGGCACTCTTACTAACATGCAGGAAGCATTGCACTTATTGACATTGTAAGATCAGTTCTTGAACTTTGACAGGACAGCTACAGAGGGTTCCATAGAGGGGGTACCACCCAAAAGCCCATTCCCTGTTTTCCCTCAACCTCACCTGAGAAGGTGAAGGCACCCAGGAAAGGGTCTCTGAAGATGATCTGAATACAGAGGCAGATTCACATGAGAGCAAGCAGTGCTTTCCATCAATCTGGAAAGAAAGAAAGCCCTCAATGGCCATTGCTGAGAATCCTCTTAACTGTCCCACCTTCTTGCAGCAAAGGACAGGCCAGCCACTCACACCTCTTGCAAGCTGTAACAGTGGTGGAATGAAGAAGGTGCTTGGGCTTTGCTTGCTAAAGTCTCTAGTTCAAGGATGGGGAACCAGTGACCTCTTTGACATTGCTGAACTACGGACTTCCGGGGTGGCGCCACCGGCAATGGCGGACTCCCTCTGAATTGGAGGGACTAGCTCCGCATGAAACGGGTCTTTTCCGCTGCGGCGTAGCGGGGACCCTTCTGGAAATCACAGGCAGATGAAGCCTGTGACCGTGGGACTCGGCGGGCACCCTTAGCGCCCCCCCAACCCACAAAGGAGCCCACAAACGGGCTCCGAAGTGAAGAGGGGGAAGTGGCGCGGTGCTGTGAGTCAATTGCTTTTTCTACGGAACAAAGCCACATAGTCGTTGCCGGAGAGCGCTGCCTTTTTCCTGGGACAATTTGGCATTTAAAACAACCAACCGTGAGTACTGGAACACTGAATATTTGGATTTCAAATAAGAACTGGCGAAATAAAAAGGAATTTGGACTTAAAAATTAACCCTAATTTGGTACTGAAACGGGAGGGTTTAAACAGGAAGTCACCCTTCCGTTTCCTCGTAGTCAGAACAAAGCAAAGACAACGCAAACTAGAGCCTTAAAAATCACTTTTAAAGGATCGAC